TTCTTTCTTTCTTTCTTTCTTTCTTTCTTTCTTTCTTTCTTTCTTTCCACCAAGCGACTTTATCTAGACAAGGTTAAGGCCACAGCTACACAGTCATCCATCTCTGGGGAATTTTCTCTGTCACTCATTCCCCCTAACAAAGAGGGCCAGCGTTAGAGCACATCCAGGCCCTATATAGAGGCATATGAAACTTCTTTATAATGTGGCGGGATTTATTTATTTTATTTATTTATTAAATTTGTATGCTGCCCATCTCCCCTATAAGATGACTCTGGGCCGTCTACCTGTTCCTTTCTTGTCAAATGTTTCATTGCTACGTATATCCCTTCCAGAATCAAAACATTGTTTGTTTGTTTAATTTCCCATCTTTGTTATTTTTATATAAATAGCTCAAGGTGGCAAACAGTCCAAATATACCTTTCCTCATAATAACAACCCTGTAAGGTGAGTTGGACTGAGATAGAATGACTGGCTGAAGTTCACCTAGTTAGTTTTCATGCCTAAAGTGGGACTAGAACTCACCAGCTCTTGGTGATTGGCCCTAAATCACCCAGCTAGTTTTCAGCCCTAAGGAAGGACTAGAACTCACCGTCTCCTGGTTTCTAGCCTAGTGCTTTAATCACTGGACCAAACAAACAAAGATACTTATGATTGTAATCATACATGACAACATAATGCAATGAAAAGTAACCATAAAGTTAAAATACAGGGCAAAAAAATAAGGAAGCTTCCCCATAAAATTTTGATTAAAATATAACTCTCTTAAATGTTTACCTTTCATTGCAATATTAGTATATTCTATAAATAACATAAGGCTAATCGTAAAACTACCACTAAGCCCAAAAACTAAAAAACAACCCATTGTCTTTCTAAGTTTAAAAGATGATAAAATAAAAACTGATTGATAGCTGTCATGGAGAACTCTGTAGCTTTTGTAGCAGTGATTTTTTTTTATCAATCCAGTTTTTTATTCTTAATAAATCACAGAAAATGAATTCAAAGCCAGATATAGATGTAATTCAGGGAAAAGATGATATCTTACCGCAGTGCAGTTGTGTAACGTTGTAAATTATCAATAATCCATAACCCTATTATTAATTTTAGCAAATTTAACTGTATCTGTCAAAAGTGCATCATGGATGCATGGAGCTCATTCAGTTATCTACTTGATTGCAAAATCCTGATATCTATAACTCATGTTGGGCCACTAGTCATAGGATATCAGAATTTAATTTGGGTCCATGATTTAATACCATTTTGACGTTGTATAATTTATTATTTCCTGTTTCTTGAAAATTTACTTTCTTTAGCTGTTTTCCACTGCTTGGTTGGTTTAAATATACTGCCAGCTATCAGATTTTATTATAAGCTCATTGTTATTCTTCCTTTTAATAAACTTGTGTTTTGTAGGGAGATTTTATGCTACAGATAGCTGATTTTTTTTTTTATCAATTCCTGAGCTTCTTATACTTGGCTGTGATATAGACTTGCTCACAGATTAACAACAGCCTTTGCATTATTTTTATGGGAGGATAAATTACAGTAGGGGACACAGTGGCTCAGGGAAGATAAATTACAATAGGAAGCACAGTGGCTCAGTGGTTAAAGACACCGAGTTTTTCAGCTGGAGAGCTGACAGCCCGGGTTTGAGATCCAAGCACCATGCAACAGTGTGAGCTCCTCCTGTTCCTTGTTTCAGCTCCTGCCCACCTGGCAGTGTAAAACATTCAAATGCGAGTAGATAAATAGGTACTACTTTGATGGGAAAGTAACAGTGTTCCATGCATCCCAGCATTTAGTCATGCTGGCCACATGACCACGGAAGTGTCTTTGGACAACACTGGCTCCCTAGGCTAAGAAACGGAGATGAGCACCTCCCCCTAGAATCGGACATGACTAGACAAGGAAACCTTTACCTTTTACGTTATAGTAGCTATGGTAGAAAGTGATTCTTTGACCAATATCTGTGCAGGTTCTTTTAATAATAGTCTGATGAAACATATATTTTCTCGTTATCATTGTGCATTTAGGAGGATATGGCGAGTGGTGTGGTCGCCTAGAGGTGGAGCGCTCACCTCACAATCAGGAGGCTGTGAGTTTGATCCTAGGTAGAAGCAGATATTTCTCTCTCTGGGCACACAGAATATATCTGCTGCATATATCTCCGCATCGGCAACAGGAAGGGCATCTAGCCAATAAACACTCAGCTCCACTCAGTAGCCCAGACTCCACCCCGCAAGGGATTATGGGGTTATTTAAAGGGGATGATGGTTTAGGAGGATATGGCACTGTTGATCAGGTAAAAGAGAACTGAACCTTTTTGTTAAGATACAGATCTGAGGTTTTTCCCGTGATCATTTCTAGATTTTATACGGAGGGTAGGCTTAATGTCTTTCAGTCAGAAGAGTAACGGGCCCCCTTTTTCATATATTGTGTTTTCTTTCTTTTTTTTGTTTGTGAGTTTTTGCCTGTCATGCTTTCTCTAAACATCTGGTTTCAACAAATCTGGAGAACTTGACTAAGCGCGAGATCCAAGGCCAGGATTTCATCAAGCATAAATAAATTTCACTGGGGAATCTCATGTGGCGAGAGTGAATTGGAATAACCACATAGCACACATAGAGATCATAAAAGTAGATATGTGTGGTTAAGTCTGTCCATGCTTTGGAAAGCTGTTTGCTGGTTATTTTATTTTACTTTCCCCATCACCTTTTAGCACCTTTTAACAGCAGTATACCAAAGAGAAACATGACTGCAGTATCTCTCTGAAGAGGCTTGGTGAGTGACAGCTGACCTGGTTTTATAGATACCTGGATATGGTTTTAATTAATCCTTTTTGTTAGCAATGTATTTGCCTGCTCTTCCATAGTGTGTACAGCTAGTCCTCGACTTACAACAGTTCATTTAATGACCGTTCAAAGTTACAACGGCACTGAAAAAAGTGACTCATGACCGGTTTTCACACTTGTGACCGTTGCATCATCCCATGATTTTCGGCCCAATTGTGGTCGTAAGCCAAGGACCACCTGTACATTTTGCTTATAATTTCACTCTAATTAGCCTTAACCAGGAAAGGCAAGATTTAAGCAAGTTTAAACCACTCCTCCCAAAGTCTGTCACTCCCATCATCCCCTGCCTGGAAGAGCGACGTCCAGAAAACAGAGTGATGGGTCAAATTGGTTGGGTAAATAATCAGAGTTGTAGAAATTCATAAACTCTGGGCCTGTTTTGCAAGGAAGGGAAACTTATTATTCCTGAAATTGGGGATACAATCTATGCATATGTCAGGTTTTTTTTAAATGCACACTTTTTGTCTTGTTTAGTTTTGCTTTGTCCCCCCCCTTTTTTTTTTTCGAGTTTATACTTTAACGTTGTGAATAAAAATAAAAATTATTGAACAAGAAGGGCTCCCCCAGGATCCCCATTTGGTTAGCACCACTTTAGGTTATAAGCAGAAAGTGAGATAGTTTTGGCTCCTCCGAGAGAAAAGTCAACGTACAACCCTGCCAGCAGAGTTGAATTAGAAACAGATACCCTGGAGGGCCAAGTGGCAGCCTATGGCTTTCATTTTTGACTCTCTGCTGCTGTACACATTGGAGTATTGGAGGCTGATCGGTCTTCTCAGCGAAAGAGGAGCTGCGTCCCGGGACCATTTTCCTTTGCCCCTGTTCCAAAACCAACGCCAAGAAGCTCTCGCTCGCTCTCTCCTTCACCCTCTCTCCTAGGCAGTCTCATTTTGCAGGTTTGTTACACACACCGCACTCAGTCGCTCAGAAACCTCAGCAAACCCTTCCGCAGAAATTCACACTTGCCTGTGTCTCTCCGGGATTCCTGTATCCTCTCCAAGCTACACAGCCAAGGACAGCTCTCCCCAGCCGGTTGGCTTCCACTCCAGATGTGATCAGACTAAACCCCCTGACTTTCACGCTGAGCATTCTGGGGGGCTTTCTTTGTCTCCCTCTCTCTTTCTTTCTCTCTCTCTCTCTCTCTCTTCAGTCGACTCTGTTTTTATAGGGCAGACTTCAAATAAGTCCTGGCTGTGCGCAAGATATGAAGCAATACTCGAGGGCAGGAAAATGGAGATAAAAAGAGTGAAACGAAATCAGCAGTGGCAGCCGATGTAGGAAATGGCAGGTTGAGGAAAGCTGGTAGATAGGTCAAGGAGAAGCTCCTTGGAGTTCTGCTTTCAAGTCTTTAGATTTTGTTTATCCTCTGGCTGCCCAACTGGAGAATTATTGTAATTTTCAAACTGTTGTTCCTTTGATTAAACTGCTCTTCATAACAAAGGTAAAGGTTTACACCATCAAGTCGTGTCCGATTCTAGAAGGTGACGGTCATCTCCCGTTTCTTAGCCGAGGGAGACAGCATTGTCCAAAGATGCTTCAGTGGTCATGTGGCCAGCATGACTATATGCCAAGGCGCACGGAGTGCTGTTACCTCCCCACCGAAGTGGTACCTATTTGTCTACTTGCATGTGCATGCTTTCGAATTGCTAGGATGGCAGGAGCTGGAGCCTGGAATGGGAGCTCACTCCGTCACGCGGTGCTCAGGTCTTGAACTGCCAACCTTCCAGTCAACAAGGCCAACACTCCTCTTAATCACTCTTCCTCTTTTCTCAGGTCATTTCAGACGATCCGTTTTGGGTACCCACCACCGAGGAGGAGTATTTGCACTTTGGGGAGAAGGCCGATTCCGAGAATCAGGCTCGCAAGTACATGAATGCTGTGAGGAAGCGGAAGGGATTGTATGTAGAAGAGAAAATTGTGGAACACGCTGAGAAGCAGAGGACTCTCAGTAGAAACAAATAACTTCTTGGCTTTCCCTTTTCTTTCCTTAAAAACAGGCCAATTCTCTTCTGTCCAGAGGTTCAGAAAAGTCACCTTGGAGGTGCTGAGCTCCATGGCTTTCCTAACCCTCGGTTGTCTGTGGCTCGAGTTTGAATAAACCGAAGCTTTCTATTTTCCTTCTGGTGGACTTCCAAACTTTCTGCCTTCTGGAAACACTTTTCACGTCAACTCAGCCGGCCAAGGAATGTCTGCAGAACTGCCACAGAATCCCCACATAAGCCTGGGGTGGTAGGTCTGCCCTCTTTTGTCAGATTAAATCAAGTCAAAACAGTAACCGATGGGAAAAAAGTACCCTTGATCCATCAGCAGCGTTTTAGAAATAAGATTGCAACTAAAGTGGTTTTTATCTTTTTTTAAAGGCAGTTGTTAGTCAATACCATTTGAACAGTCACTTTTGGGACGCTTCTCCTACCATGAGGCCTGCACTATTTGTGCAGTCTAAAAAACAAAATACGTTTCTGATGAGAATTATTTCATTGCACATACAGATGTATTTATTTAACAGAATAACAGAGTGGGAAGGGGGCCTTGGAGGTCTTCTAGTCCAATTCCCGCTTGTTCTGACCAAGGCTTCCGAGACCGTAATTACGCACATGCTTATTTTAAGAAGAAGTCTTGTTTTATTGCAACACTAGGAATTATTTTCATTCCCAGCCAGTAATGAATCTCAAACAGTCCCTCGAGATAAGCACCCAGCTGTCTTTCCTGTGAAGTGCTGCCAATAACAGAAGTGTCAAATAAACTAGAACAAAAACCAACCGAAGTACAAAGAACTTCAAGAATGACTCTGAACCGAATGAATGACTTTGCTTCCTGCAAAGGTTTCATCATCTTGGCCTGTCCCTTATACCTCATGGGAGGGCCAATCATCTCCCAGCCTTACTCCTTTTGTTTCAGCTGCTCTCACCTTCTAGCAGCTCTGTGCGCACACACGCACTGGGAACAGGCTCCCCTGGGTCCTCTGCTTCGCTGCTGCCAGACTCTGAAGGCAGCACCCCACTCCCAGATGGTTCTGGCCCCATCCCTGCATCAGACGGAGGACCCTCGTCCGAGTCCTCTCCAGACTCCCGGACTGATCCCCTTTCTCCCCCACTGTCCGATTCCACTGCCATCTACACAGGCTGCCAGCAAACCACAACACCACTCAAGTGGGAGACCCTATACCGTTCTGGGCAAATGGCAGTCGGTTCTCTTCTTAAAGACCTCCAGTGATGGAGAACCCACAACTTCTTAAGACAAGCCATTCCTCTGATCGATTGTTCTCACCGTCAGTGAATTTCTCCTTCGTTCTAGGTTGGTTCTCTTCTTGATTAATGTCCTTCCATTGCTTCTTGTTCTGCCTTCAGGTGTTTTGGAGAATAAATAGACCCCCTCATCTTTGTGATAGCCCCTTAGATATTGGAACACTGCTTCATGGGGATTTTCGTTTGTTTGTATTTATGCGTAATGGAGATATTTTTATCCCATCCTTCTGATTCAGACACCACTCACCCCAGCTAGTTGATTTCAAACAGCATGAAATTAACAGCTTTTTAAAAAAAGAACAAAATAACATTTTTAAAAATACAGAAAGTTTCAACAGGAATGAAAATAAAGAGAGGGCAGATAAATATATTCAAGGATAATGTATGTTCCCGTTATTACTCAATTAGATAACATCATCAGCGTACATGAAACCTCTACAAGAAAACAATGAGCACCAAAGATCTTTCATTTTGAACCCGGAGCTGCAGATATTCTGCTTTATCAGTAATTTAAAGAGTTAAAGCCCCAACACATGTGGAAGGCACTAGTCAGAGAGTGATTTCCTTCCTCTCAAAGAGACGGCTTGCGCTCATTGTGCGATTGCCACCATATTCTTTAAATGACACCAAGTGACACCAACCCTGTTCAGTTGATTCCCTGAACCCGGTATTGGAAATGCAAATCCGGTTGTCTTGGCTGGGTTCTCATTTAAGGAAGTGGCTCAGTTTTTCAAAACGCCCCAGCCTGGGAAGGATTTCTCAGATAGTCAAGCTTTTGTAACGGCTCTTCCCATGCAACAAACTCAGCCTTGAATCAACCCAGCTTCTTCTGCTTTCTATTTTTAAAATCACTTTTCATTAGTCGGATACAACACCTTCTATGCATGTGGCATTTCTCAAGGAGCTGATTTGACAGGTGCCTCTCCCTAGAGACTTCCAAGCTAAAATAGCACAGGAAAAATAACAGTAGAAAGGTAGGAGGGAGGTTGGAAATTGAGAACAACGTACAGCTATTTTGGTTACCTGTATTTTGATTTCGTTACTTCTCGATCGGCGGACACGAAGGGGAACGGCTCAGTTTTCTGTTGTATTTTTGCCAAAGAACATCTATAATGAACAGTGTCCTTGATTAACCCTTCTTTAAATGTGGATTGGATTCCAGGGAGCACATCACAAAGGGTTACATTACAAAGAATTCCGAGTATTGAATATTCTTTCCTTTTTACAGATTTACATCTTGGCTTCCGGGGATTAGCCTTTGTATTTTAAGGCATAGGACAGTGGTGGCTAACCTCCTATGCCAAAAATTGTGCACGTGCCAGTACCCAGAATGCAATGTGCGCCCCCTTCCCCACTCCCCCTCTGCATGCGTGTGCAATACCCCACCCCACCCCCTTACCTGCACTGCGCCTCACAGCTGATTTTTTTGGTTTGACAGGAAGTGACGAAACGGGCCTATAATTCGGCCTGAAAAGCCTTGCAGACGCTTTTTCCAAGCCTCTGGGAGGCCGAAAAAGGCCTCAAACCAACCCAAAAAATCAGCTGTGAGGTGCGCACATGCGCAGTGATGTGAGTTTGCCTGCGGCTTGCATGCCAGCACAAATGGCTCTGCGTGCCACTTATGGCCATCACAGGCATAGGACCTGCATCACAAGAACTTGAAACTGAAATTTGTGAAAACGTAGTGGAAACTGATATTCTCAGGAAACCTGGCAAAAATCACATTCAGTTTTCTTTCTGCAGAATCATAGCATGCCTATGTCACAGTGCAGGTAGTCCTTGACTTACAACCATTCATTTCGTGACCGAAGTTACAACGGCACCAGGGAAAAAAGTGACTTATGACCGTTTTTCACACTGATGACAGTTGCTCACACACACACACACACACACACACACACACACACACAATGGTGATCAAAATTCAGCCATTTGGCAACTGGCATGTATTTTTTAATGTTGGCTGCAGTGTCCTGGGGCTCAAGGGATCCCCTTTTGCGACCTTCTGACAAGCAAAGTCAATGGGGAAGCCAGATTCACTTAACAGCGGTGCTACTAGTGCACAACTGCATTGATTCACTTAACAACCATGGCAAGAAAGATCATAAAATGGGGCAAAACTCACTTAACAACTGTCTCACTTAGCAACAGAAATTTGGGGCTCAGTTGTGGTCATAAGTTTAGGACTACCTATAGTTAATAAGCTTAGGTGGGTTGCATTGGGGTCCAAAGCAGAGGTGAGTATTCAGCAGGTTCTGACCAGTTTTGGACAACCGGTAGCGGAAATCTTGAGTAGTTCAGAGAACCGACAAATCTGACCTCTGACTGGCCCTGCCCCCATCTATTCTCTGCCTCCCAAGTCACAGCTGATTGGCTGGGCCTTCTTTGGTTTCCCTGCACAGGAGAACAGAGCTGGAAAGTAGGTTAGTGGGGTAGGAAAGGAATGGGATTTTATAGTATCCTTCCCCTGCCACGCCCACCAAGCCACGCCCACCACTGGTCCAAAGTTTGCTGGAAATGTTTAGCTGGCTCTTCAAATGGCTAACAAAAGGACATCAATATGTTGATGGTCAGATCTTTTAGACAATACCCAGAGCCTGGATACACAACAGATCTGAGTGGACACAGTTCGCAAAATGACAATAGTCTTGAAAAAGTTACCAGGCACAAAATCCAAGTTCAACTAATGTCTCCCCAAACCAACCTTCCAGCCTGCCAGTGTAGTTGCTAGTCAACTTTAAAAGTGGGAGGAGTCAAGATTTTGGCCTTTTTCCTGCCACTTCCATTTTCATATTGCCTTTTGGTGATGTGGTTGCCGATTAGGAAATGGCAGGATTGGGTGTAATGGTCCCTAGGTGTCTGGCACAAACTATCAGAGCCACTCATAATTAGCTAAAGTCAGCAACTTTATTGATTACTGCCAATGTTACAAGAATCTCACCAGACTGCTTGCCTTCCCCTGGGAACAACCAGAGAAGGCTTCATGGATCTTGGAAGAAGTCAAATGTACGTCATCTATGATTCCAAGCTAGTTCCCTGCTTGATTCTTCCTTCCAGTCTAGTTAGCTATTTCTCAACAACAAGAGTTCTTAGGTGATCAAATTCAGGGGAAAATATATTTGTTTGAAGACTGGAGAGGTATAAAAAAGTCCAGATGGCTGCATGATTGAATCCTGCCCCAGTTGTTAAGTACATAAAAAGGGATTGGGGCATCGATTGCAGTCACCGTTTTGATTTGGTTTTTAGTCCATTTCTCTGCAGGCACCCTGGAAGAGACAGGATCGTCTCTATCCAAAATCAGCATCTTTGATTTTTTCTTCTCCTCCCTTATAAAACTATGACTAAACTAAGAAGACCAGGCTAGAGGAACCGTGAAAAGTTTTAATGGCAAAACATTATCACCATTATCTGATCCCGAACTGCTGCCTTTATTTGCTCAATTTAACGCTTGATTAAAACGTTCTCCAGCAGCTGAAACAGAAGAAGAAAACGGCATCTGTGTGCTTTTCACCCCTTTATTTTCAAAATAGGAGCCACACGGCAGGATTTTAAATTGTGAGCTTTTAAAGAGTTCCACAGCTCCCATTTGCTGGGCAGCCAATTTGAGGGCCGAGTTGATCTTGTAATCAACTGGAAGGGTGGGGGGGAAATTGCCCACGGAAACTGGATTACTCCAAAGGATCAGTTCCGTTCTCTCGTTCGCTTACCGGAAAACATATCCTCTTCTAGAAAGGTATTTTCATAAATCTGTGACTCTGCCTCACTAAATTACACAGTTTTTCATGAATAGCATATATTATGGTCCCTACATGAGAAGCAGTGGTGGGATTCAAATTTTTTTTACTACAGGTTCTGTGGGCATGGCTTGGTGGACATGGCATGGTTTGTTGTGTGTGGCAGGGGAAGGTTAGTGCAAAATCCCCATCCCCATCCCACTAACCTACTTTCCAGCTCCGTTCTCCTGTGCAGGGCAACCAAAGAAGACCCAGCCAATCAGCTGGTACTCAGGAGGTGGAGAATAGATGGGGGCGGGGTCAGTCAGAGGTGGCATTTGCCGGTTCTCCAAACTACTCAAAATTTCCGCTGCTGGTTCTCCAGAACTGGTCAGAACCTGCTGAATATACCACCTCTGATGAGAAGCCTTCATTTACTGTGTAATTCAGTTCTGGTTTCCTTAAAAGCAGGTGAATCCATTTTCTGGACCCTCCCACTTGCAGGTTGGTTTTAGCAGAATTGAATGTACAGGAATATCACTGACAGGTAGTCCCTGACTTGCAACCACAAATTTCCATTGGTAAGCAAGATTTAAGTGAGTTTTGCC